GGGCTATTTCTTGTCAGCACTTTACCCTTCATTTTCCATTTCTCTTTTTGTCTCCTCCTACTTATTTTTCTTTTCGGCTTCTCTTACCCTCTTCCCACATCCTGGTTTGGGCGATCCAGCCCTGGGCACTCAGTTGTGTAAGCCAAGTCTTTTTGCATGCCCTGAGAATGGTTGCCAAGCTTGTACCCTTCATTCTAGGTCTTTAACTGTGAGCCTGGAAATGCTGTTGGGCAAAGGGATTAGGAGCCCTGAGAATAAACATTTCCAGCTACAGAAATTTCACTTCCTGTGATCCGCTTCCCAGTCTAGGAGACCTCCTGAAGATTTCTTCCCATGTACAGTATGAGCAGTTTCTGCATCTGGCAAGTTTCTCTTGTGCACAGAAAGTCTGAGATCTGCTGCTTTCCGTTTATGCCTCTGTTCCCTAGCCATAGCCCATTAACATCATCTGAGTGTCTGTCTAGATGGCTCTTTGCCATAGCTCATCTTATTCAGCAATCTGCATGCATAAATGTCCACGTTTTTGGTTTGGGTTTTTTTGTTTTTTGTTTTTTTTTAGCAGCCCCAGGAGACACCAGTTTTCACTGACTCCTTGTTTTCCAGTAAGATGTTTCCATTCTCTTCCTGGTTATGTCAGAAGTGCTGCTAGTGGTAGTGGCCTGTCTTCCAGAATGAATTTGGGTTGCTGAATCAGTTCTGATTGCGGTTGCCGGGTTTTAACTTTGCCCAAAATGGCCTACTGGTTTGTTCCATGCAACAGTGCATCTCCAATGCGCCTTGAAGCCTGTAACGGGCCCCACACAGTGTTTTGGTCTGGGCTTGTGCAAGATGTCTGCATGTGTCTCTTGTTTTTTTTTCTCCTAGTGAGATTGCAAATGACTCAATACTATGTATATATTAATCTTCATGAAGATTTGTGTAAAAATGGATTAAAATTCAGAGCAAAAAATTTCATGTTGGTTTTGTAGCGGCCTCAAAACAGGCCCCCTTAGACCCTCTTTTAGATAAGAGCCTTTCCTCCAGGTCTAGCAGGTGACGTGTTTTCCTGCGGGAGGAGGAGTTGCAGGAGATAGGAGTGAAGTGAAGGCACCAGTGCTCTGCAGGGTGTCCTGCAGAGGTAATTTTTGGAGTGAATATAGCTTTGGTCCCTGATGTTCTGAGCTAAGTGCCTGTGCATGAAGCGCCTGTCCTTTCCACCTTGCCATCCTGCAGGAAGCGTGTCTGTCTAGCCTGAGACCCTGCGTCTCTGGTGCTACCAGCATGAACTAGTGTTGGCTTCCTCATCCCAACAGGGGCGATTTCTCCTTTCATGAGTGCCTGTGCTTCTGCAGAAATGTCAATCATTTATTTCTGGAGGGTTTAGCTGGTTTTCACACCACCTGTGGTGCTTGCTGTTGGAGAAACACCTCCCAAGCCCAAGAAACCATTTGACCATGTGGCAGCGTGTTCAGTAGCTGTATCCCCAGCCTGTCACTAGGCTGTACGTCACTGAAGAGTTCCTGCTAGCTGCTCCCCTCTCCAGTCTGTGGTAATTACAGCAGCAAAAACGACTTACTTCTAGTTCATTATAGCATGTATTGGCAAGATGAAATCAGCGCTTCTCTTGCCATCTGTGAGACTGAGCTCAAGGCTTTCCTGTCCTGCTGTCGTGTGGAGTGGCACTATGGCCTTGCAGGGATGCTGCAGGGCTTCCTACCGGCTCTGCCACTGCTGTTCTTGCATTGTCCCTTGCGTCGAATGAAGTTCGTCTGCAGCACTAAGTGAAAAAGTTTTAAGACGTCTTGAATTCTGATAGTTCTTCCATTATAATTAAGCTGCTTGAAAGGATGCCTCAGGGAGAGCAAATGCAGCTTGGCTATTTACGGAGCTGGCTAAGGGAGAGCTTCCTTATAACTTCTCTATCTTATGACCTATAAATTGTGTTTAATAGCTAATCTGCCACCTCAGGTTCTTGTATCAGAAAAGATGGTTTCCCTATTAATTTGAATCAGCACAGCGTGTTTACAGTTCTTCAGTGTGGAAATACTACTCCTGTTAATGCTGCTGATCACAAAAATAATTTATCACCTGTGCTCTCTGCCTCCTGCTCTGGCCCGCAGATCTTCCCGATTTAGCATTACTCTTCCAATCTTCATGTAATTTTAGTAAAAATAATCTTTAGGAAGGTTTCTTGTGCCACTGTTTTTGAAAGTCATGAAGGGCTCATTTCTTCAGGGATGCAATTTCAATAGTAAAATGTGGTTCTAGTTGAGAGGTGCTGAGCCAGCTCTCCTGCGGTAGAAGAGATTTGCTGATCCACTTTCTTTTTATATCTGATCTCTAGATAGCATGGCCAGGAAGAAGTTAATCATTTGCCTTGGAGAAAGGAATTAAAATCCTGCATCTGTGGGGCATAGCTAATCTGCAGGTGGGAGCCAAGCAGGAACATACCAGTTTAGCAAGGCAAGGCCAGTGTCCAGAGGGAATGCCCAGGGTGAGGGAAAGCTCTCTATTTCGTGTAGCCCCTGGGGGCAGATGTATGTCTTTGCAGGGAAAACGTGGCAGGACTTCCTGGTCTGGTGCTGCATGGGTTGGAGAGGTTCACCGTGGCCACTCTGGGCACTGATGGGGAGCCACCACCATTGCTTAGTTATTCGAGCTGCTTAATGTAAGTGTTTTCCTTTCAACCTTGATGCCAGCGTGCGTTTCTGTGTGCTTGTAGCGCAGAAGAGGCAGCTGCTTAAAACAGTTAAAAGAGGTGGGCTTGAATCTACAAAGTTGTAGGTGAGTTTAACCCTGGAGGTCCTCTTGCTTGCCTGAACCTTGCTGCGGAGTTGTGGTCTGAGTCACATCTCATGCGTGCAGAGCAAGAAACTCACTTTTTACAGCTTGTCTTGCATTCCCCTGGGGGTTGGGCTGGTGTATTTATCAGTGGTATCACACTGAAGCCTTTCTCCAGCTCCGTGGTGTTCAAATTGGAGATAGCTGGTTGGCATGACCTGTGAGGTGCTTTCAGTTGTACCTGTTACACTTACCATATGGAATCCCATTTCATGGGAGAGCTTTTGGTGTTGTGCCTAATGATATTACACCAAGAAAAGTAAAGTGTGCTCGCTCCTTAAACAAACAGCACCAGTATCAGCTATGTTGGAGGGCCATCCAAGTCATAGCAAGAGGAGAGTAGCAAAATAAAATGGAAGTATGCTGCACAGGTTGCTCCAGTGGTTGAGCTCAGAAAGCAAGACCAGAGGCAGCATGCCTTTCTTCCCAACACTGGAACAGCTGAAGGGGCCCCACCTGCTTGCAGCCTGGTGGTACGGTTGAGCTGCTCTTCCCCCCGTCACACCACTCAGTGCAAAGATCTTGCCTGTTAGGAAATAGGAAATTTGAACAGGTGACTGGGGAGCTCGGAATCCGCTGCATGAACAGGGACGCCAGCCTAAGGATGCACTGGGTGCGCTCAGCCGAGGATCAGAAAAGGGTGAGGCCGCCTCTTCGTTGGTAGCATGGAGTTACGCCATTTCAAACAGCAAAGACAAGTGTCCTGAGATGCTGTGTCACCACCTGGGGTGGAAGGGTGGACTGGATCTTTCCTGAGCTAGAGTGCTAGGGAGGGGCGAGACTGATCTCTGTGCAGTCACTCACCCCTCCTTTCTGGAGGTTTGGAAAAGATGGCTGTTGTGGAATTGGGTTGCAGCAGCAGCTGAATAGCCAAGGAAATGCACATGCAGGGACCGTGGAGGACTCAGGGTCAGGGCTTTGGAGAGAACAGCCATGCTGAGGCAGCAGATATGCATTAGACAGAAGGAATACATCCCTGCTCTTGGCTCCTTGCCCTGCTGTCCAGCTGCGTACGCTCTGGCTCTGCCAGGTGGAAGGAAGGCCTGCATCCTGGTAGATGCAGTGGGCAAAAGAATCTGATTCTCAGATAATTTGTCTTGTTAAATACAGCTGTTTCTCAGTGGCAAGAACTCAGGTTTTCAAATAGCTATATTTATTTAAGATGTCCCCGAGGAACAGAGGCTCCAGCTGCTGAAATACTGTTGTCTGTGCTGCAGTCCCAAGGTTGTTTGGGTCTCAATAACAAATGATGTTGTGCTAGAAGGACCCTGTTGCTGCACAGTAAGAACTGCGCTCTTCAGAGCGGGGTGCGATTGGCCCAGCAGAAGTACGTGAAGGTGTTGGTGACTGCACACTGGCCTACTGGTATTGCAAGATAAGCAGCAGAGGCATCTCCCTTCTCCCAGCTGAGTGCTGGCTGCAAGCGTGTAATTTTTCCAGCAGCAGGTATTCAACGGCTGTTTAGCCTGGAAGGAAGAGTCTGCAGAGTCCCTGCAGGTCCATAACCAGAGCATGGTTATGTCAAGTTACGTGTTCTGTTGCATCAGCCTGCAGGATCTCAGGAGCCTGTTGCTTTGACGTGAGCTTACTGGGTGGAGGGTGGAACAGGGCAAGCATTTGTTTGCAATGTTCTCTGCAGGTGAATATCATTATTTGTCTGCTTTCTTAAGAGCTGCTGTACACAGGGTTGTTTGCTGTGTTAGCAGGACTTGATGTAGATGTTAAAGTAGTCATGAGAGGTGACCTGAGGTGTGGCTGCCTATGGGGAAGCGCTGCTCTGTGAGACAGCTCAGGCTGGTCCTGGAGTGCAGTTTTCTGCAGTGATTCCTCAGTGGTCTCTGCATCTTTGCAGTGCCGTCCTTCCCCTCTACCAGGTACGCTCCCCTCTACCTTCCCCTCTACAGACACACTGTACACTTCAGAGAAAGTAATCCTAGGTAGTCTTAGCCCTGTTTTCCCAAGTCAACCCCATTCCTGGTTTCCCAAGTCAACCCCATGCCTGCTGCCTCTGCCTGAGCTGCCCTGAGGGGTGTAGAAGAACTGCAGAGAGCAGGTTTTCTAGCTGCTAGTCACATTCTTTCTCCAGAATGTCCTTTTGTGGCTTTGATTTCTAGGACTGGGGCCATCTGACTTGTTTCCACAAGTACTTGTACTTACTTTTTTTCCTCTTATCCCTGCAGGCAGCGTCCTCAGCACTGAGCAGTCTGGGCCATGTGTACACAGCCATTGGGGACTACCCAAATGCACTGGCTAGCCACAAGCAGTGTGTCCTCCTTGCAAAGCAGTCCAAAGATGAGCTCTCTGAGGCACGGGAGCTGGGCAACATGGGAGCAGTGTACATTGCAATGGGGGATTTTGAAAATGCGGTGCAGTGCCATGAACAACATCTTAAGATCGCCAAGGAGCTGGGGAACAAGCGGGAGGAAGCTCGAGCCTACAGCAACCTAGGCAGTGCTTACCACTACCGGAGAAACTTCGACAAAGCCATGTCCTACCACAACTATGTGTTGGAGTTGGCCCAGGAGCTGGCTGAGAAGGCCATTGAGATGCGAGCTTATGCTGGCTTGGGCCACGCAGCTAGATGTATGCAGGACCTGGAGAGGGCTAAGCAGTACCATGAAGAACAATTGCACATCGCTGAGAGCCTGCAGGACCGAGCTGCTGAAGGCAGGGCCTCCTCCAATCTAGGTAAGGCCCTGACACGGACCAGAATTTGTCAGGGAATGCAGTCACTATCAGAGCTGCTGCCAGGATGCAGGAGGTTTGCTGTGTGCTATCTTCTTAGTTATCCCAGTTTCACCAGACTGTCTTCATAGATTAAACAGGCACTTGGCAGATGGTGTGCCGATGTAATGTATCCCATGCTGAATTATTAACCTGCTCAAAAAGGCACCAGAAAGCTCATGGCAGAAGGGAGATGAAAAGCTAAAGTGTATTTGAAGAGCCATTCAGGTGTCAGAAATAAAAGTAAGTCTTGCACTAAGGCGAGAAGTGATGTGGTTTATTACCTGGCCATTTCTTTGGGAGCTTGTCAGCTGGGTATGTCAATATATTGCTGCCTTGTAAGTTGGGAGACACATGGATCAAATCCTAACTAAGTTTGTTTTCAGAATGTACACATTAAAATAATGGAGTGTAGGAGTCTCATGTTCTTCTGAGGAAAGACATTGGCATCCTGCTGGCAGGCTGGGAAGGACTGTATTACATCAAAGTGAAGTCCGTTCCTGCTTCTTCACAGCACCAGATGTGGAAGCGACCAAAGATGTGTTTCCGTCTCCACCGTGGGATGCGGCATTTGTGCTGCTGATGTTCCAGCTGTCATTAAGGATGTGTTCTCAGCTGCCTGGGAGTGGCAGAACAGGGCTGTTGCTGGTATAACAAAATATGTGTTTGCTGGCAGCCCCTGAATCTCAGCTCTTGCAGGCTGCCCCATGCTGTAAATTAGCTTCTGTTTCTGCTTGGCAGTTGGCACCTGGTTCATTTGTAGATGCTAATTGTAGTCTGATGTTATCAACAGCAGGTAATTGAAAAGGGCTTGATGAATTACTTAATTTTTCTTAATAGCTGAGTCTTCAGAAGCTGAATGAAGAAGATAAGGTGAACTGGAGAAAACAAAACAGTCCTAGCTTTCTAATTAGCGTTGCGAATCTCCTCCTTTACACAAATTAGGGCAAATGTGTGAGGCAGAATAGGTTTGTGAGGCGAAATTGCCTGTGGCGTGCTTTGCATTACAGAGCAGTGAGCATTGATAACACTTCTGTTAGCGTGACAGAGCACCCAGTGGGCAAGAGGGGTGGGAGGATGAAGCCTTGCATCTGGCTTCCTCTAATATTTATGTAAGGGCTTTTGCAGAGAACAACAGCAGGTGCATCTAGCAAAGCACAAACGACATCCCCCATCTCTGCTGCCAGTGTGGGGCGGGTCTTGGGGAGATGCAGAGATGTGAGGGATCCACTGGTCTGTGACAGGGACAGAGGGGCCCGCCTGGAGGAACAGGACCTGGGATTCTCCACACAGGGAGAAGGGGGAGGTGTAAACTCTGGGTCCTTGGTGGGGGAGATGGAGATGTTGACATCGTCCTTGGCTATGCTTGGGGAATGCACTGGCTTCTCAGCTCATGGTCAGGACTGAGGGAAAGTTCCTCTTGCTGTGAAGCTTAACTTAATGTGTTTTGTTTCCAGTGGAAGCTGACCAGAGGGTGTGCAGGCTGTTTTGCTGATGTAGCTACTGGGAGATGGCAAAGCTGTGTTCAGCCACGAGCGCTTACAAAAAGGGGGTGGACATGCTCTGAACAGCGCTGGCAAACCTCCAGAGATCAGAACCACTTTCATTTGCCTCCCTTCTGAAGCACTTGCTGCTTTCTGGAGAATTGCCCCAATTCTTCCTGAGCAAATCCAGGAAATGCAGTCTGGGGAAATGGAAGCTGTCACTTGGTTTTGGTTTTTTCCCCTACATCAGTGTGGTGATGAGCCGTCTTTGGTTTTCCGTATTGTCTCCTGCTGTTTTTGTGAGGCCTCTGCCATTGGGTAGACCACAGCTCTTTTGCTAGAAGAAAGAGCTTAATTAAAGTTCTGTAGCATTTGTTCTAACTGCCTCTGTGTTCAATGTAGTCTGTCTCTGTGCTACTCAGCATCATAAAAAAACCCCAACAAACTGGTACAGAAGTGTTGAGACAAGATGGGCTTAGCAATTCGCTGCAAGTGCTGATACTTGCTGTAGTTGCTTTGCCCCATCCCAGAATGAAACAAGCGCTGCTGCAAAAGGAAGCAACTTGCTCTTGTTCCTCAGCCTTTCCTGGTACTCACTTGCGGTTTAAATTGTCTCACCATTTTGCTGGCTCAAAATCAGTTGGGACTCGAAAATTAATCTTAATATCATTATCAATCTTACAACATTGGATTTAATGATGCTTTCAGCATGTAATTCCAGAAATTTTTGTTTAAAAATAAAAAAAGGAAAGAGTTTTGGTGCAGCAGAGAATTCTTTTCTTGTGTTGGATTTAAGCCTAAATATAACTTTCAGTTGGTATGCTGACTCAGTCACTCTACACTCTGTATTAGAGTAGTTTTCCTAGCTTCTGAGTGCAGGATCTCACGTTTCAGCTGTTATTTGGCTATATTTTTATGTCTTCTCTGTCAGAGTTAAGTTATAGTGGAGAAAGAGAACATGCAGTTCTTGTTGAGAAAGTGTATTACTGTTGTTTGAAATGCATCCAGTACCAATTAAAAAGTCAAGTCTTAATTGTCTCTTTCATCTAATCCACATGCAAAACAAAACCTCATCAAAATAACCATGCTGACAGGCAAAAAAAATGTATCTAAATGTGTGTTTCCAAGCCAGAATGTTAGAGTTGGCCTCTTTGCTGAAGCAACAGAAATTTTCTGTTTGCATTTCACTGATTTAGATGGAAAGCTCTCTTTAAGTGTACTATCTAACACTGAGCAAGACAGACACAATATAACATAGCCCAGCTGCTGTAGTGCTCTGCAGGGAGATACAATGCGCTCTGCAACTCGGTAAGCAGAAGGTAATGGACTGAGGGCAAGTCACAAGTTATCAAGCGCTTCACAACAAGGAGATGTGGAGTTTAACCAGAAGTCTCAGACTGTCAACCTTTGCAAAGCAGATGACATTCCCAAATGCCAAGGCTGCATGTAGAGAGCTGGCTTTTCAGCCTCTACAGCTCTTAAGGGTTCCCACTGCGATGGAGAGAGGACACTTCAGATTATTCATAAAACTGTATAAAGTCCGTCCCTCGGTGCTTAGCATCTCTTTGCAGTTACAAGAGAACTTCTGTGCCTATCTTCATGTGCTTGGTGTGTTGTCCGGAGGTGCCAGATATTTTCTCTTGAAGCATTTTTGAGATTAGGGTCAAAAAATGGTGGTTAGTTACATTTGGCCATCTCTTCCCCAATTGCTGAAGGATGAGCTAACTCACCCAAGACCCCTTTCCCTCATCTCTGACCGCTCACAGGCGCGCTCAGCCAGCCGGCTGCACTGCAGCAGAGCATGCGTCAGACGGTGGATGCTGGTAGGCTCTCCAGTCCGCACCGAGAAGGGGACTGGGACGTGGTTCTCCCACCACACGGGTGAGCTTCAGAACCACTTCTGCTCTGTTTCAACTTTCAAGCGTGTTTGTATTTCATTCTGAAAGACCAGGTTCAGTCAACAGTGATGTTGCCTCAGTCTAAGCTGGAAGCCATGGTGCAGCTGTGACCCTATCACAACGCAGAGGTTTATTCTGCACTGGCTAATGCTAGTGGGAGACTGGAGGTCCCTTTGACTTCTGCTCTAACTGCCTGCCGGGCTCCAGCTCAGGCGCTGCAAAGACTGTCCCAAAGTTAGTCTGACGCTTTACCTCTCACTTTACCAATTTGTTGCCTGAATTGGAAAAAGTTGGTGATTTGCGTAGGTAGAACGTAACTTTTATGATGATTTTGCTGATGTTATACAGGTCTCTACCCAGTTCTAAATGTATTCGTCATTAAGGAAAGAAAGCTTGTGAATTAATGTAATTTGTGCAATTTTGGGTGCTTTACACTATATAAGGCAGTAAAGGCTATCTCTGACCATTTCCCCTTGTGTCTGCTGGGTTCTCATCTTGGGTCTGGTCTGCTGTATCCTTCATGTGCTGTTCCAGAATGTAGTCTAGTTGCCTGACCAGAAGGCTGTCTTTTACTTTGGAGTCAATGATTATAGCTGTAAGAATGAGTCAGAATGCTGATGTTTTGAAGTGACAGTGTGTTTCTGGATCCTTCTTCCTTAAGTGGCCACAACAGATGGGTGACAGCTCAAGCAAACTAATGTGATAGCAGGCTCCATGGGTGAGGAGAGCACAGCTTTGTTCTCTGTTATGCTACTTGGTTTTGTCCTGGGTATCTTCTGGTAAACATTTGCTCACTGTTTTTCTCCTTTCTTGGCAGTAAAGAGGCTGACTAAAACATTTAGAACTGTGAAGGCTTCATCTCCCATCCATCTACGAACCTCATTTTTGTCTGTTGAGGAATGCACAAAGAGAGAATATATTTGGTAGGTGATGATTTTGGAGTCTGAGTCAGAACCTTTCCTTCCTGGGCCGTCCTTTGTAATTACCCCTGGCAAATGATGGAAACGTACCAGGAGGTGCTGTGTGGGGTCTCTTGCCAGGTTCCTCTTTTCCCAAGAGCAACCTTAATTTTTTAGACAAAATTCTGGGAATTTGCTTGAGCAGGGATTGTGACAAAGAGCAGCCTTTTTGGTGAACATAGTATCCAGGGTGAAACTCCATCTGTAGTCTCTGCAGAGAGGGGCAGCACTGGCAGTTTCAGTAACCTGTTGCCCTAACCTCTAGTGTGAATTTTACTTCTCTGGCTGCCATTTGCCTTTCAAAGCCATGCTCTGTGTCTGACTTTCCATCTTCCTCTCCCACTTCCCTTCTCTTCAATGCCCAACAGGAGAGGCCGGTGTTCTGGGGCAGGAATTCCTGTTATCTCCAGCCCCAGATACTCCTTTTCTCATCTGTCCTCAAGTATAGCATGAAGTGGCAGTGGGAGAGAGTCTGGGTTGCGTCAGCATCCCCAGTGCTCTTCCTCCATTGTGAGTTCCTCTGTATTGAGGGAGAGAGGTAATTACAGTGAGCATAGGACTCCTCACTAGCATCCTTGTCTTTCATCCGCTGCTCCTGTGGACACAGCTCCTGAGTTGTCAATGGCATTTTAATGGTGACCACTGTGCACTGACTTTTCTTATTCCTCACAGTGAAGTGGAGTCTCTTCCGGGTGCTTAAGCTTTGGGGCTGAGCTGTGGCATCCTGTCTGCTCGCTAAGGCCTCCTAAATGATCTTGGGATACCAAAGATTTTTCCTTCTCTGTCAAGTCAGCTGAGTCTTTGCCAAAGTAATCTCCAGTGCTACCAGAGATGTTGATCCAAGGAGGGTAAGAAGGCTGAGATGGAAGAATACAGAGAGGAACTTTGTGACCAGAGTAGGATTCACATCTTAAGGCTGGTGATCCATGGGTGGCCAGAGGAACCTCCACCTGATCAAGCGTCTTGTACTCTGCACACAGCAGTGGTGTGGCCTGATGACTGTAATGGCGAATGGATACACTAGTACAAGAGCTATTTAGAAGGATTTTTTTGGTACAAGAGAAATTGTAGGCTGAAGTATGGATTTCACACCAAGCTCCTCATATTACCTCTTCTTATTTTTTTTTTTTAATGTACTAGGTGCTAAAAGCAGGAACTTGCATTCCACGCTGCTCCAGCACCTCTAGCGGGCAGGCAGCTTTGCAGATGGCTTCTTCAGCTTAAATTTTCCCATCTCAGTGCCATGTGGACAACAGAAGCACCAAATCACAGGCCAGACTTGCTTGGGTGTCATCTTGGTTTCTAAGATACCAACTTGGAAACTGATCTAGATTTGGGGAGATGGATAAATAAAGTAATTATTGCATCTTCCAGATGAGCAGAATCCCTTGCAGACCAAGATGAGCTTCTCTCTTTCCTAAGAGGCATCTGGTCTGTTTCTTGCAGTTGTTTTGTTGCCAAAGATTGCAGCTAAGGACCTTGCATCCTGCAGGACATGGGAAAGAATGTGAAACAGCCCACGCTTGACATGGCTTGCAGATAAAATATACGTGGAACTATTAGCAAGGTGTAGAGTCAGCATCCCCTCAGAGCGAGCCGCAAGTCTGCAGTCCAGGGTCAGGGTTGTCTCTAGCTTTGACAAGAATTTTGTTTAAGTGTATAGCTGAGGATAGACTGAGGATGGGAAAACACTGTTGCCATTTGATGGGAGGGAGATGGAGCCAGGATGCTTGGAAAGTAGGGCAGGGATGGCAGCTTGTACAGAAAGGATGATGGGAACCTATGGAGTAGCGACAACATAGCAGGGGAGTGAACTAGGTGATTGCTCTTGTTTCCAGGCGCTAGGGCAGCAAGGCTCAGTAGATGCTAACAGCCAGTCTGTGGAGCCCGTGCATCTCTGGCAGACTGTGTCCCTGGAGTCTCTGTAAGATCTGGGCGGCTGGGTGTTTCCAGTCATGCGGCGGGAAAGATCTGCATGCTATTCTGAGTTCTTCAAGGTGTCCAACCTTCCAGCCAGTCCTCCTTCTGCCTGTCCTGTTACTCTGTATTTCAGCCTGTTTGCATCTGCAAACCTCAGCGAGTTGCGGCTGGTAGCTCCTGGCAGTGTCCTGGTGACATTTTTCCTACTCTGTTCCTTGAGAAGTAAGGGCTATGTTTTATTTCTCAGCATGACACACTTGGGATTAATGAAGCATAAGGAAATGATCTATGAATGTGCTTTTATAGAGAGTCTTGCTGATGAGTTCATTCACGTCCTGCAGCAGCCACTTCTGCCTGGGATATTATTGGCAATGTAATGACTTGGTGGTGTAAGACTTTTTGGGAGGGTGGCCTAAGAGCAAATGGTCCCTGTGCTGTGCAGCACCATGGCAACGCAACTCATGGAGGCAGTGTGTTTTTGAGGCGGTGTGTGCTCCAACAATATGGGATGTCCATGTTCCCAGTGTAATTCGTTGGCCCATGAGTGGTTGTTGCTGGCCTCATACCCTACCAGAAAAGCTGCAGAAGCTCAGAGTTACCAGGGGAATCTATGATTAGACTAAGAGAAGTGGAAGATGCCTCCTGAGGCATTGAATCCAGTCTCCTGTTACTGCACATGCCTTGTAACGCTAATACCATGATTCATAAACTAACCATGTGCCATTTTAACAGTAATGTTTTGTTTGCTTCACTATCCTACTGTGGGGCTGTTCTGGAGCTGTGGCACTCTGATGGTGAAAATAATTTCTAGGGTTGATGCCCCTCTGTGGTTACACCAGCATTGGTCTGTAAATTGATTAACTCTTCTGCATCCAACAGGAATCACATTTGTCTGTCTGCTGGAAATGCATCAATTCACTGGATAGCTCCTTCTCGTTTCCAGATGATGATGCCCTGCCCTTGTAGTCTTGAAGTGTGTGTCTTTGCATAGTTTACTGCTGATTTTCACCACCCCATTCTTGTTGCTGTGGCACGCAAGGTTGTCCAGTCCTTCCTCCATAGTCATCCCATCCTTCTGTGTGTCAGCAGTGCTTCTTAACTGGGTTTCATCGGCGCGTCTTGAGTAGTACTTGCTTCCTTTGTGCCAAAGTCACCGCTAAAAATTTTGAATAAGGTTTGTCCTTTTTTCTGTTTTCTGACTCTTAATTAAGAGGAACCTCATTAAAGAACAAGTCATCTAGGCAGTCAGCTGAACTCGCATTTGCTTTTAACCTGTTTTCTGTCCTCTCTCTCCCTTTTACGGTCACTTCAAGCTGAGTGCTTTCCCACACCTGATTCCTCAGAGGAAGTGGAGAATGGTGCTGGTGGAGAGCAACGGCATGTCTTGTCTCCTTGAGGAGTCTGTCCATTTAGCAGTAAGAGATTAGGAAAAGCTTGCTCATTCCCTTATTCTGAAAACCCTGGGTTTTCAGAGGTGGTTTTCAATGAGCTGTGTGTTTAGCTTTCTCACAGGTGGGGCCCGCTGTGTTGTATCTCGCTGGGCAGGGCCTGGCTGCCCGCACTGGAGCCGAGGCACCCCGAGGTGCTGGCTGGGAGGGACACAGCATTCGGGAGACAGGGCTGGGAGTGCGGGCTCCTTGGGCAGTGCTCGTTCTGTCAGCTTCCAGCTCAGACACCTCTTGCTGTTTCCAGGGGAGAGATCTACCTAATTCCATCTTTTCTAGTTTCCGAAGCAATGGGATGCTTTCACAGTGACTGTTTTTTGCAGTTTCAAAGTTACTTAGCTTTGTGTCCAATCCAGTACCACCCCTTGTAATTACTTTGTGTTTTTTCTGCGGAAATCGGTGGTCTTTCCTGTGAGTGCTCTGCTGTGTGCAGCAGTGCAGCTGTCCACCGACCCCAGCACTGGCTGTATCTCCAGATAGGGGATGGGGGGCCAAAATACTCACGTGGGGTCACTTAGCTTAGTTCATCCTGTCCTTCCTGCCACCACCTTCCCTCGTCATACTGGAGGGAATGCATCAGCCAGAGATGCAATAGCTAATGCTGATCAATTAGAGCTGCAGGCTCGTTGGAGCTGTGGAAGGATTTGGCCAGGAGCTGGACTAAGACACCAGGGAGCCAGTCCCTCCTGCCCTGAGCTCTAGCTTTGATCACGATTGCAGTGTGGGGCGAGAGAAAAGAACTGTCATCAGCAGACAAGCGTTTGCTGTTTTGATCCTGTTTTGTTCTGCTGATGTTTTCTAAATTGCCTTCTCCTGAAGCCTCATGTTAGTAGGAAAGTGAGCAGAATTTCTGAATGACTTGCTTTGATAGAATACAGGTAATCCAGCCAGCATGCCTCATGCTGACATAATGGAACTTGGGGTTTCAGTCCTACATGAGTTTAAAAAATGAATCTGCGAGGTCCAGATTGCCTCGGGAAAGCAAATTCCAGCCCTTGTGTTCCGGGCTCACTTGGAAAGCCTCTGTCTTCAAATTTCTCTTTGAAAGTACAAACCAAGAGGAGGCTGATGCACAGGGCCTGGTCACAGCATGCTGCCCTTGCCGGTGACTGGGGAAGGCAGCTGCCTCCTGACCCTCCACATCTCTTTTCCCTCAACACGTTGGGTGTGATACGGAGGTGGAATTTGGAAGCTGTTTTCTTTTAGGGGCAGGGAAAGACCTAAAGTTGTCTTCAGGTGTCAAGTAACTGTGACAAATCTGCAGAATCAGGTAACTGTGTTTGCAGGGCCTCCTTCAGTGGCTCCTGGATCTCCAAGCCTGTTCATGAGTGTTTGCAAAGGAGCCACATGTAGTATTAGCACAGAGTTTAACTGAAGCGTAAGTTGTAACACTAGCAGATTCAGAGCTCCTGTTCCCCTGTCTCATAACAAGTACAAGATGATTTGACTGCAATTGAAAAGCAAATGCAAATGCTTTCTCACTCAGTGTGCTGAGTATGAGCTCTGGAGTCACCAGGTATCACTGATGAAAAAAAAAAAGGTAGCATAATTAAAAAAGAAAATGGGCATTTTATAAGGCCACACTGTCCAGTTGTTGTGGTGAATGCATGCTTCATGTGTAATAAAAAACCTTCTCCGGGATTTGCCTGTTAGGAGCGAGGAAGCAGTCCACTTGAGAAGGGCTGCGCCACGTCAGCTGTGCCGGGGACACATCAGGGGGCTGCGGGGAAGGGATGGGGTTGCCTGGGGAAAGGGCCAGGCCATGAGCTGCCGAGGGCCGGGCTGCCGGAAGACCTGGCATGGCAAGGTATTGCAGAAGGGTTAGCACAGAGGAATGTTTTTGTTGAGCCCGCTTCTGTTATTTTTCAGGAATCATTCACCAGATGAAAGGTGACTATGACACTGCACTGCGGCTGCATAAGACACATCTGTCCATAGCTCAGGAGCTAAGCGATTACGCGGCCCAGGGCCGGGCCTATGGCAACATGGGCAATGCTTACAACGCTCTCGGCATGTATGACCAGGCTGTCAAGTACCACCGGCAGGAGCTGCAGATTTCTATGGAAGTAAATGACCGTGCCTCTCAGGCATCTACACATGGGAACTTAGCAGTTGCCTATCAAGCGTTGGGTGCCCATGACCGTGCTCTGCAGCACTACCAAAATCATCTCAACATTGCCCGGGAGCTGCGAGACATCCAGAGTGAAGCACGGGCCCTCAGCAATTTGGGCAACTTCCACTGCTCACGAGGAGAGTATGTGCAGGCAGCCCCTTACTACGAGCAGTACCTGCGCTTGTCCCCAGAGCTGCAGGACATGGAAGGGGAGGGGAAGGTTTGCCATAACCTTGGCTATGCCCATTACTGCCTTGGGAACTACGAGGAAGCTGTTAAGTACTACGAGCAGGATCTTGCCTTAGCAAAGGATCTTCATGACAAGCTGAGCCAAGCGAAAGCCTATTGCAACCTGGGCCTGGCCTTCAAAGCCTTGATGGACTTCAGCAAAGCAGAGGAGTGTCAAAAGTACCTGTTGTCCCTGGCCCAGTCTCTGAACAATTCCCAGGCCAAATTCCGAGCTCTGGGTAACTTAGGGGATATTTTTGTCTGTAAAAAAGACGTAAATGGTGCAATAAAATTTTATGAGCAGCAGTTGAGCTTAGCCCATCATGTTAAAGACAGGAGACTGGAAGCCAGTGCCTATGCAGCCTTGGGCTCTGCATACAGAATGATACAGAAGTGTGACAAGGCTTTAGGTTACCACACGCAGGAGCTGGAAGTGTATCAGGAGCTGGGAGATGTGCCGGGTGAATGCAGAGCACACGGTCACCTTGCTGCAGTGTATATGTCACTTGGGAAGTACACCATGGCCTTCAAGTGTTACGAAGAACAGCTGGAGCTTGGGCAGAAGTTGAAGGACCCCAGCATAGAAGCCCAAGTCTATGGTAACATGGGCATTACCAAGATGAACATGAATGTCATGGAGGAAGCTATTGGCTACTTTGAACAGCAGCTGGCCATGCTGCAGCAGCTCAGTGGAAATGAATCTGTATTAGATCGGGGCCGAGCGTATGGGAACCTGGGAGATTGTTATGAGGCTCTGGGAGATTTTGAGGAAGCTATAAAGTATTATGAACAGTACCTGTCTGTGGCTCAGAGCTTGAACCGTATGCAAGATCAGGCAAAGGCCTACCGGGGCTTGGGCAATGGGCACAGGTAAGGAGCACTGCATATGTATTCTAATGACAGACAGTGAAGTACAAGTAGAAATGGATGCATTGTGTTACTACTGGGGTGTGTTTGTGTGGCCATTGTACACATGCACGGGGATGCGGCATGGGAGCGAGTAACAGAGTCCTCTGGGTGCTGAGGACTGTGCTACTGGCTCAAATAATGAAGCTGATGTTGCTCTGGCCTGAGAGGAAAAGTTTATAGCGTGGCAGAAGGAGGAGGTTGATTCAAAGGTGCCGGGGATGTCTCCTGGGGGGAGCATTTGTCTCTGCTTGAGAGGTTTGAGCTGGCCTCTAGAGGAAATGACAAATCTTCTTTCAAGATAATACTGGCAAAATAAATGCTGTGTTTTCTTCGCTTGTAGGGCTATGGGAAGTTTGCAGCAGGCTTTGGTGTGCTTTGAGAAGAGGCTTGTGGTGGCACATGAGCTGGGGGAGGCATTTAACAAAGCCCAGGCCTATGGCGAGCTGGGGAGCTTGCACAGCCAGCTGGGGAACTATGAGCAAGCCATTTCTTGCCTGGAGCGCCAGCTGAACATTGCTCGAGAGATGAAGGACCGAGCTCTGGAGAGCGATGCTGCCTGCGGCCTTGGTGGGGTCTACCAGCAGATGGGAGAGTACGACACAGCCCTGCAGTATCACCAGCTAGACCTGCAGATTGCAGAGGAGACCAACAACCCCACTTGCCAAGGCCGGGCTTACGGGAACCTGGGCCTGACCTACGAGTCCTTGGGCACCTACGAGAGGGCGGTAGTTTATCAGGAGCAGCACCTCAGCATTGCAGCGCAAATGAACGACCTTGTAGCCAAAACTGTGTCTTACAGCAGTCTGGGGAGGACTCATCACGCCTTGCAGAACTACTCTCAGGCTGTGATGTACCTGCAGGAAGGTAAGAGGCTGAATTATGCAACAGAGCATGTAGTGGTAGGTGCAGGGGGAGAGGAGGGAGGCCCGAAGAGAATGGAGAGAATGTGGTACTGTGAGCGTGGCACTAAGAGGATGTGTTTAACAGTGGCCTTTGATGCAAGAGCTCTTGGAGACATTCATAGCTAATGTTGGCCATCCGTGTGTGTAGCTGTCCAAGTGGGCTGTTACGGTCAGCACGCCATGTCAGTCGGAGCCTTCCTGGTGTCCTGCAGAGAAAGCATTGCAAAGCATGGTCTGTGCCTTCCTGGGGGAGGCTCAGCTAGCTCTGAGCTTGAATCCAGACCATACCTGTCAGAGTCTCCTTATAAAGCTCGTTTGCGCCTGAGCCTAGATGGTGTAAACCTTTGCTATAAATAGCATTGCATACCAGAAACTGGCTCTGGGAAAACCACATCAGGTTGTAATGGATATCTCTGATCCTCAGAGCAGGTCTCAGACTGATAGGTGCCTTGCTGATAGCCACCTGGCCTTTCCTTCTGCATTCAAGGGGGATTGAGACCAGGTGGGCGAGTGTCCTCTGAGCTGAGTGAAAACAAGTTGTGTTTTATAGGGAGGTGAGAGAGGTTCAGCCCTCGGTGTCTGGAAGCCATCCACTGCTGCTGAGTGCCAGGGCCAGCACTGGCTTGTGAGTTGTGTTGCTGCAAGGGATTCCAGCATGCAAGCAGCATCTGTTCAAGGTGGTGGCTCTCTGATGGAGGAGATGAGCAGCGTAGCTGGAGTGTATGAAGCTGGAAGCCAAAGGATTAATTACTTCAGTTAGTCTGGTTTTCCTGAAACTGACCTTCGCAGAATTCCAGTATGCTGAGGGAATTCAATTAAGTTGGAGGGGGAGCAATTAAATACAGCTTCTTCTCCTGGTGTGACGCAGGATTTCTGAAAAGCCTGCAGATGCTAGCTGCTGCTGAGCTGCATGGTTGTGGCCAGGGCCCCCACTCCCCCGTCTGTGGGAAATCTGAGGTGCCTAAGAGGAGGCATCCCTGTTGTCAGCAGGACCACGGAGGTGAGAGGTTTGGAGCATGGTGGAAGGGGGAATGGCACAGAAGGTGCTGCTGGAAGTGAAACGAGCTCCAGGCCGTTCATGCCAGGACCCTGCCCTCTGCTCTGCTTCAGTACATAAACCATGCGGAGCCTGCCAGAAGGCTGGGGAGAGCTGGTGGGAAACAAGCCAGTAATGTGGCAAGAGGTGTCTTTTTCTGGCAGCATTTGGCAGCTCAGTGTGATTTTGTTTGTCTGTGTGGCTTTTAAGGTTTAAAAGTCAAACTTCTTGATAGGGGTTTACTGAGTGTGTCTCAGGGGGACTGCACCTTAACCTCACTTAGGGAGGTCTTGGTCCATGGCAATGTCTCTTGCTGAGGCACCTCTCACCCTGGTCAGCAGCAGCTGCCCGTCGCTGCTCTGCTCAGCGTCCCACACTCGGCAGGCCCCGGTCTGCTTCTTGCCTCC